CTCCCCTCCTTTTTTTCTGCTTTCTTTTTCCTCTCCTTTTTCCCTTCCCTTCCTTTTTCTCCTTTCTTTTCTCCCTGTTCTCCTTTTTTTCCTCTTTTTTGTGTTTTAAATAGAAATATATAATTAAATTTACAAATGCTATTTACAGGTTTAATTACAAAAAAAAAAATTTTTTTTTTTTTCAAAGAGAAAGAGAGACACCCCTTAGACGTTAATAAATCTAAAAATAAAAAATATATAATAAAATCCCCCCAAAAAAATTCAAGCCGAAGGGCAGTAGCGGCCGGGCTTTTTTGGGGGGGGTCACACCGTCGTCTCGCCCTGCTTGCTGTTGGTGAGCCGCGTGTAGAACTTCCTCCACGAGTGCAGGGTTTTACCCGACCATATCCAAAAGCCAGAGGTGATGCCCACGATGAGAGTCATGAGATACTTGATCATGTAGACGGTGAAATCGGGGGTCATGCGGGGGGTGAAGTGGAGCGGGCAGGGGATGGCCAAGCTCTTGCAGTTCTGGCTGATCCAGCTGCGCTCCCAGTGCTCGCGGAAAGCCTGCTCGTAGAAATAGCAAGCGATGACGATGGTGGCCGGGACGGTGTAGAGGACGCTGAAGACCCCGATGCGAACCATCAACCGCTCCAGCTTCTCCGTTTTGGTCCCGCCGTGTTTCATGATGGTGCGGATGCGGAAGAGGGAGACGAAGCCGGCCAGAAGGAAGGAGGTGCCGATGAAGAGGTAGACGAAGAGAGGGGCCAACACGAAGCCCCGGAGAGGGTCGATGTTGTTGAGGCCCACGAAGCAGACGCCGCTCAGCAGGTCGCCATCGATCTGCCCCATGGCCAGGATGGTGATGGTCTTGACGGCCGGCACGGCCCAGGCGGCCAAGTGGAAGTACTGGGAGTTGGCCTCGATGGCCTCGTGGCCCCACTTCATGCCGGCGGCCAGGAACCAGGTGAGGGAGAGGATGACCCACCAGATCGAGCTGGCCATGCTGAAGAAGTAGAGCATCATGAAGAGGATGGTGCAACCTTCCTTCTTGGTGCCCTGTACCACGGTGCGGTAGCCGTCCTCCTGGAAACGCTCGTTGCAGACCACCCTCTCCTCCAGCACGAAGCCGGCGATGTAGGCCACCGACACCATGGTGTAGCATCCCGAGAGGAAGATGATGGGTCGCTCGGGGTAGCGGAAACGCTGCATGTCCACCAGGTATGTGGTGACGGTGAAGAACGTGGAGGCACAACACAAGACGGACCAGATGAGGATCCAGATACGGGCAAAACGGATCTCGTCCTCGTTGAAGAACATGTGGCCGTCGGGCCGGGAGGGCTCGCAAGGCGCCGCGCAGTCCTTCTCGCCCAAGAACTTGTAGTTGAGGTAGCTGGGCACCTTCAGCGCCCGCGGGCAGTGGAAGGGGTGGTCAAGGGTGGCATAACGAGGGGCACCCGGGGTGCCCTGGCCGGCCAACGGCGTGGCGCTGGTGAGCAACGCTGGCGAACCGCCGTCCTCCGAATGGTTCTGCCCCACACAGATCTGCTCGGCGCCGTGCCGGGGGAAATTCTCGCAACGTAATCGCTCCGGCCATTGGAAACCGAATTTATTCATGAGGGCTTCGCAGCCCTGGCGCGCCCGCTCGCAGATGGAGCGGCACGGCGGGATGGCCTGCTCCAGCACCGTGCAGACCGGCGCGTACATGGAGCAGAGGAAGAACTTGAGCTCCAACGAGCACTGGACCTTCACCAAGGGGTAGAACTGGTGGACCTCCAACCCCGCGTCCTCCTGGTTGGTGTGCCCCAGCAGGTTGGGCATGATGGTCTGGTTGTAGGCGATGTCGGTGCAGAGCGGGATGGAGATGGGTTGGCAGAAGCCGTGGTCGGGGATGGAGATGCCCTTCTCGCCGTGCAGCTGGCTCCGGCATGGCGCCGGCACGCTCAGCCC